GAGGGGAAAATAAACAGAAAAGTAGCCTCGTGGTTTAGGCTTTTTTTTTTCTTCTTTTTCTTCTCCAAATGTAATAAATCAAACACAAATCAGGAAAAGATATTGCCCTGACTTTTTTTTTATAGACAAACTCTAAGAGGCAGTCACCCAATGAAATCTTAGGAGTAGCAGCTTTCTACAAAAGTGATTACAAATTGCAATTATAACTCCTCTGTTTTCCAGACAAACATTAATTTGCACAAGTTTCAGAGGCACATTCCAGCCCAGACCCAAAGTGCTCTGTAGAGCTGTGAACACAGCAGAGTGTTGCAGGTTAAGGCACAGCTATAAATGAGAACTTTGACATGGAATAAGGTCACTGAATATCAGAAAGGTTAGCAGGATGGGGCAGCTCTGGCTGCATGGACAGGCTCCATTCACTGCTCAACTAAAACAACATTCAGACTTTTTTTTTGAACACTGACATGTTATTCCATTGATATGAGGGGAAGATTTCTTAATAAGGCAAGGAGACACAGAATCCCTCTAGAGATTTTTAACAAAAGATCTCTCCTTTGAGTGCACCATCTGGAATTACTCCTTGTTTTTAATATAGACTCCTAAATTGCACTTAGTAATACAACAGAGAGTAATCCACACTCACTCCAAGTTCAGGAGCTCCATGTGAACACAAAGGTGCTACCAGGGATAAGTGAGCCTGAAAGCAGCTGATTTGATTTTTAATCAACTCAAACAAACTTTGCAGCTTGCTCTGAAGCTGGAGAATCATATTCTCAGCTGGAGTAAACAGGCATAAAACTCCTGACTTAAAATAGACAAAGCAGCTAACTATCCCTAGTTTGTTTTCAATGGAGCTACTCTGATTTAAACCAGCTGACAATTCCTCTTGCATCTAGAGCATTTAACTTTTGCTTTGAAAGCAAGTGCCGTTTAAAGTAAATGTCCCTCTTGAAATGGTAACATCTGGAAGCAATTATTTTCATCTTCAAGCAGATGCTCACAGTGAACAGCTCATTAAGAATGTGACCCATTTTGTTACAGAGAAATTATAGTGTATTTCAGTGGTATGATGCAACTTGAATTCAGCCAGAATAAATATGCAATTGTAAGGAAAGAAAATACACATTTGTGTTATTGGTTTTAAAGCAAAAAGGAATATAAGACAGGCAAAACGGTAATTTTGGGCTGTAGCAGCTTTAGGAGGATCTTAAAGAGCTGAAATAGAGCATGAAAATAAAACACATCCTAGGGAATCTTCTTTAGAAACAAGATACTTGCTTTCATTTTAAAATGTACTATAAGGATCATTTAATTTCTTGAAGTTCTTTCTTTGAAACTGAACTTTTTAACTTGAAAAAATAAGGAAAAAAATTGTTTTTGAGTAGAATAATTACAAGAATGAGTCATGCAGAGGCTACAATATGCCTGTACCAGACAAATCAAGAACAGCAAACTATTTCCAAGCACAGCTGCCCTTTTAAAATTTGCACTGTGTACCTCTAAAATATTTAATCACCTTTTCCAATATTCCAAATGGAACTGAAGCACAAGCTGTATATCTCATTTCCACATTTTGCTGTCTTCTTATAAAGCAGCTTATAAAATTTAACACGACAGAAAATAGCTTGAGAACTCTCCACTTTTCTAGACTGTCAGCTGCAGGCACAGAAAATTCCACAACACAGAAGAAACAAATCATGCAATACACTGATTGAGAAACCATAAGTAAGATTTTAGTCAAGTGAGAGAGGGGGGAAAAAAGCAAACCCAAAAGATCCCATTTTGTACTTGTGCACCCTACAAAATACAACAAAAGTTCCTTATTTTCACCCTTTTTAAGAGTCAAGAGAGACAGACAGACCAAGCTACCTACCTGGCAAGCAAAATCCAGCCAGAACCACCACTAATGAGCACTGCACTTCTCAAGTGCTGTGTGTCAGCTGCAGTAGAAATAAGATATTTGCTTAACTGAAAACACAGCTGAGAGCAATGTACGTGTGTAATCACCATGAAATGGTGCAAGTCAGTAGCAGAGAGTGAATTACAACCCTCCAATCCATCATTTGCCCATTACACAGTTAAGCAACGGAAAGGACAGAACTTCCCACTGCACTGCCAACTTGAACAGCCCTTGAATCTGCCTGAGGAGCAGATTCCTGCCTACAGGAACTGCAAAATAACTTCTCAGGGGAATGCTCACCTGTACGACCGGAGAGCACACTCTGAAAACCTCACAGCTCACCCCAGAGCAGCACAGAGCACACTCCACCAGCTGAAACACTGAGCCAGCTGCTGGCAAGAAGTTACTGCTGCTATAAACAAGTGCTGAAATTCATCTAAGATCAGATAACTCAGGCAACTGAAAGTTGAAGGAATGATCTTTGCCAGCCAGCAATGTTCCTGAGGAGCAAACAGATACATGCCAGATTTATCCCCTGCAACCAAGGCAGGATTCTGGCTCCCCTGAGCATGAGACAACTGCAAAACCAGAACAGGTACATACTGAACAGTGTTTGATCCAAGTTCCTACTCCCATGCAGCTCCTCCCTGAATTCTTTTAATCCAGAGTTTTTTGAAGGATCCTCCACTGTGCCTCACCAACAGCACTGTCTGATACACCTTCCTCTGCCCTTGCACTCAGGCAGAAGTGGCCCACAAACTGACAGAAAACTCAGAAACTGACTGCTGTCTGCATCCAAGCATTGCAGTTTCTATGCTTTTTTTTTTTTTTTTAGGACAGAAAGAATCCTAAAGTCAAGTGCTTTGTACTTTGCAAGACAATTTACCTGATGGAAGACATGATTGTGTTTACACACTACAACCATCCAAGAAGAGTTCCCTAGATTACACCTTGAAATTATGTGTCAAGAATAATTTGGAAGGCTAAAAGATATGGTCAAACCACATTTAGGATTTGGGAGAGCTCAGGTACAAAACAGACACTGCCACACTGACCAGCACTTTCCTTGGCAAAGCAAACTGCACACTGCTAGACTTTATGCCAGAGAGCTTCAACAGGAGTTAATATCTGCTAAATAAATCAAATGCAGCTCTGGAATAAGCAAAGAGGGAACTAACTAGTCCTACGATAATTACCAACAAATGCACTTAAAAGAACTGTGGAGGTGAAATTTGTATGTGCAGAAAATTCACTTTTCATACTGACTGAACATCTGCCAAGCCAGAGAGCATCGATCACATAGCACTGATGTGTTTGCATTAGGCATGGCTGGTACTTTTGCTTATGGGGCAGTTTGGGCAATTTTACAGAGTAAAAATTTCTTCTGCTTTCCAAGGCCAACATATCAATGTTCAGCATTGTCTCTTCTCTTAAAAAATATTTCTTTCTTAAAATTGACTGGAAGAAAGTACATAGAGATACTACAAACTAACTTAGAACAAGACATATATTGCTTGCTAAAATGTGCTGTAATTTTACATGTTAAAACAGTTGATATACTGGAAATGGACTGCCACAGCATAAATTGTTTTCATGGGATAATTCTAGGAAGTTTTTTAGATTTTATTTCCAGATATATTCATTACAATGTGCTAAGGGGCAAGACAGGTAACTATTTACAGAGACCAGCTTTTCCATACCCTTTACACTTTATATGGTGAGACAGACACACAACTGGAAGGCAATTCAGTGCAATCAAACTTGTGTCTTGCTCCCAGTGATGCTCCAGAAAATTTTATCTTACCATTTACTATGAAGGATGACCAGGAAAATGCATTTCTTGGCCCAAACCAGAATCAGACCTAAGGGCTGATTAGAAGTCTTTCTATTGACTTTCACGAGCTTCAGAAAGACCTGCTTTGCTTTTCAAGACAGAATATGCAAACATCTTCAAGGTGAACAATGCTTTTCTTGATTACAGTGTGGTGGAGCAAGTATCCTTACAAAAGTAAAACGCTGCATTTGGCACAGTGAGCATCATGCATTACCTGTAGCTGTGCACACCAGGGCAACTCTGCACCTCTTGCACAGGATTCTCTCATTTCTCAAATGCTGCTGAGCCACATTTGCGTTGGCTGTGGTTCCATAAACAGCTAGAGGTCAAATACACATCTCTCCATTGCCCTTACCCCACACCTTGGCTGTTTCTGTGAGCTCTTTCAACCCACTCAGCAAACAAACAACTCTTTCCTTTTAAACCTCAAGTTAGTTTTCTCCCAGTCACTGAGAAAGAAGTTTGAGGACTCAGTCTCAAGTTAAGTGGCAGAAGCACATGGTCAGGAATAGGGAGAAGGATGAAAAGAAAATGAGGCCTTCTCCTTTTTGACACAGTAACCTTTAGACTGGTTCATTTCTTTAAAGTTCCTATTTGGCTAAGGGATATTGCACCACCCTTTAAGAGCAATGAAGGATCACAATTTTCTGCAAAGCAGCAGCATTATCTGCAGCTACTATTCCTCTTTCAAGATGCCCACCCAACCTGCTGACAGCCAGTTTTTGTATAAATTTTATTTTAGCTGCTGTTTCAGAAGCATTTCCATGATCACTTTGTAGCAGAGTTCAAAACAACTCTGCATAAATCCTAAGCCAAAAGGATTTTAGCCAGTAACCCCACCCTGACAAAGAGTACAAGTCTCTGCTAGCATAGATTCAGCAAAAACTATTTTGCAGGGTAACATTACATACATTTTCTGTTGTGGAACTACCAGTATTTTAGCTGCTGTTTCAGAAGCATTTCCATGATCACTTTGTAGCAGAGTTCAAAACAACTCTGCATAAATCCTAAGCCAAAAGGATTTTAGCCAGTAACCCCACCCTGACAAAGAGTACAAGTCTCTGCTAGCATAGATTCAGCAAAAACTATTTTGCAGGGTAACATTACATACATTTTCTGTTGTGGAACTACCAGATATCATGATTTAACTATCTTAAAGTTTATGATTTTTGTTTTTATTGCAGCATTTTTGGCACAGAATTAATTGTCACTTTTCTTATAGTTTCCAAAATTCAAAAGCCAGAGCTTGGACTCAGGTACATACTGCAGTTAACTTAGTTCTATTAATATACATAAAAGAGTTTTCAAGCTAGGGAGATTCTTGTTAAATTTTCATTTAGAAGAAGCAGTTGACTTAAGTTCACAAAGGCAAAAATCAGTGAAGTTCACTATGTTGGAAATAAGCAAACAGAACCATGAAATAAATCTGAATTTACACACACCTCAGGAAGGTAACAGAAGTCATTCTGAAAAGCAGGACACTAGTAACTGCTGGCTGAGAAGATCTGAACCCAACTCACCCCAAAACCTGACTCATCCATCTATCGAAGCCCCTGAGGCCACATACTCACTCTGTGTTTGACAAATTATCTGCAGGAAGGTCTATTGGCCACATCTCTTACATGAATGTCATAATCATTACATAATCAGGTCATTCTCTTCTCTCCAAATCTCAATTTGCTCTCTGTAGAGGATAATCTTTTCAAAAAGATGAATTGAGAAAAGAACCTTCAAAATAAATTATAATAAACAGGACCCTCTGCTGAGCCACAATAAATGTACAACTTCTCTGAGATGTTGAGAGATCTAACTTGGGTTTCCCATGTCCCACTGTCCACTGGGCAATGTAATCCACGTGAGAAACATTTACAGCCGCTCAAAATTATCTCAAAATTTAGATTTAAGGTTGATGTGAAACACATCTGGAGATTCTCTGCCTTCTTTAGCTTTAGTACAGTCTTATGTAGCTTATCACTTCCAGATCAGCTTTGTAAGCAGTTTGTGCCTGTGCCTGGACGAGTAGATGCAAATGTTTTCACTGCAATAGCAACACATATGCATTATTATCCTGTTCTCAGGTGCCTCAGTGTTCTGTTAGAAAAGGCTTTAAAGTTGTAGTTTCCTCAGAACATTCTCTGGGAAATAAAAACCCATTTAAGTCCAAGAAACAATAAGCAGTTCCAAGAGAAGTCACAGGACAACTCTAGTTTTAGATTGAAACAGGAAGCTCCTCCACTCCATCGTGAATTCCTTCCTGACACCTGAAAACAGGTTTTCATAACTAAAATTGTTACTGCTCTTTGAATTTCACTTCAGATCTCACTGCAAAACTACATGCACTCAGTATTGCATTTGTAAAACATCCCCTCAGAACAAAATTTTTCCCAGCTGGAAGCAGTAGAGGCTGCAAAAGTTGTGCAAGACTGAAGGGTTTGGTCGAGAATCTTTGAGAACTACCATTTAAAATGTTTAGGATACAAGTTCATCTTATAGAAACTGCTGCTTCTTGCATACATATGTACAAGGATCCTGGGAGTAATTAAAAACTATGATCAGTTCATAGAAAGACTTGGATATTTCACCTAGACTAAAATCGTACATTTTGAACATAAAATTTTGCATAGGGAGAAGCACTAAGTTCATCAAGAACAGTATTAAATCCTGTAAATTTCTGGCATAGATTTTTAAGGGCTGTTTACAGTTTCAAATCTATTTTTGATATCCATGTACTGTATTACCAGTGTATGATCTGCATCTGTAACAACATAAAATCTCACCAGAAAAATTTTTTTGTTTCAACAGATCTGCAAGCTCTGTGGTAACACATGAAATGGAAGAGATTTCATTTAGCATTTCTTCTGCTCCTTCAGCATATAACAGCAAAGAGCAAAACTTAAATCACATAGCCTGAAACTGTTAATTGAAAAAAATAAAAATATGCCTTTATGTACCACTTTGCTTATATAAAACATAAAGGGAATGCTCCTAAGTTAAGCAAAAATGGTCATAGAACAGAACTTGGTGCAGTAATTCATTTCAACTTACTACTTGTTCAACTTCAAAGCCTTAGGAAAACAGAAGGCATAAATAAAACTTCTTAATTCTCTAACTCCTACATATATGAGATACATTTAACCTGTCTAACCAGTTACTCAGCCGTGTCCAAATAAGCACAGTACAAATAAGACACAAGAGTTTCATTTTACATTCTGCCACGTACAGTATTATGCAACCAGCCAGTAAAACTTTTCTGCAACTGGAAAACAAAGAAACATTTATTGGGGGAAAAAAAAAAACCCACTGCAAAGCAGCAAGAGAACAATAAAAGAGGCATATTTTTATCCCTGATTTGTCCTGTTGCCGAAGGCACTCACACACTCAGACAAGCTGACCATGTGTGCTCACCCCACTGCTGGAGAAGGTTATGCAAGAAGCTTTCCAAGGCTGATTTTTACCTGTTGAAGCATTTCTTCTGTAGCATTCAGTTTCAGCTGATGTCCCTCCAGACAGATTTCTAAGTCCCGGATTTTCTCTCCTTGAGCTTCCACCTGGTCTGTAAGAACACTCACCTGCAATTCGAGAAGAGAAGCACAATGCTACTGAACTGACTGTAAATAAGTTTCAATTACCTTATACATATAACATCCAAGTGCACGTTTTAACAACAAGTTCTCAAGTCCTCGATGCTTTAATGTGCTTGGGCACTGCAGCAACCTGCTCTATCGAGATAGGCAATTTTTCACTCTTGCCTCTAATTTGCTTCGACCCCACCCTCTCCTTCCCCTCCCCCTGATTCTTCTGTTGTGATATAAAAATGAAAGAACATTTCTAGAAGAGATGGAATGCTGAATGCTACCTACAGGTAGCCCAGGTTCCTTCATGCCAAAGGCTGAAAAATTAGAAAGCAGCCAAGAAGAACATAGGAGACTGAAAATATTCCAACTGGTTTTGGAGCATGTGTTGCCATTTTGGGCTCTGTTGGCATTTTACTCCCTAAAACAGATAAACTCTTATAAAAAACAGATAACTCTTCATTCCAAATCCAACCAATTAGTTCAGTTCTTACAGGAGCAGGAAACCAGCTTACCTATCAATAAAGCATTCTGAAGCTCTAAAAATGTACTGAGGAAAGGGCAGGTTTTAGCAGTGGCAAAGTGCTATTCCAAGAAAAATTCCCAGGCTTTGGCAAGCCAAAACATGAAAGCAAAAGAAGTGAGATGCAGACAATGAATCCCAGGGAAAGGAACAATAAGCATTACTGGTAAAGAACTGTGGGAACAGTGGTACAGACCAGTAAGAGTGTAGTGAGAACAGCTCAGCAGCCGAACCCAAACTTGCAGAGCAGAAAAAACTTCAAGATAATGTTAGAAAGATGTGGGGAAAACCCCCCAGTGTTAATTCCTGTCCTAAGCAGCACATACACTCTGTGTATTAATTTTTACTATTTATTTATATAAAAGCCTTGACAACACTAGAAAAATGTTATCTCAAACAAACACAAAAAAAGGAGCCTTAGGTGTTTAAACTCTAGTTTGAAGGAAATGCAAGAACAACAGCTTTTCTGTGCTCTCACATCCAAGGCTGCAACAACTTTATTGAAGGCACAGTATGTGGAAGTGAAACTTTTAAGATGTACCCACTAAGCAGCATTTCTAAAACCCAATGAACAATTGAGTTGACTTCAGGGAAGCCGCAGAGAGTGAGAGATTGAGTGATCTCTACTTGTTTTACCTGCAAACATAATGACACAGATGCCTGGGAAAGGAGCACACTAACAAAAAAAAAAAAAAAAAAAAAAAAAAAAGGAAGAAAATAGAGACTATTTTTTTCCCTTTAAAGTAGTTGGCTATAGAGTTGAGTAGAGATGAACTCAGGATGAGAGATGATAGGAAGGAGTAGGTGCAGGTAGATAGCACAGAACACATCAGGCTGGGACAGGAGAACTCCCTGCAGAGAAGTCTGTGCTTGCCTACTCTTCTGGTTTGCTCCCATTGAACGTGGGATAGCACATGAAAAAAATCCCATCAGGTCAGAAAGCTAGAATAAACCAAGTGAAAGCTCTCCTTCAGTCTGATGCAGGTTCCTGAGAAAGAAAATCAGCTCAATTTAGAGCATCAGGTTAAGTTACAACTAGCATTGCAACTTGGAAGGAAAACTCTGTATGTTAAGTGACCTGCAAAGGAGCCTGGTAAAAGCCCAGCAGCTTTAGGAGCTTGTGTTGGATATTCCAGCAGTTAGGCTCAGAGGCACCTTAGCCACTTCATTTATTTAACAACAGCAGTGAGACTTCTGCTCAGTAGATGAACACATGTGTGAACAGAACACACAGGATAAGACATGCTTACAGACTAGTAACTGAAAGTAGGGATAACACCTACCCAACACACTGAAGTTGTGTTTGATATAAATATTTATGCTTATGATATGCTGCTGTAAGCGTGAAGAGAAAGGATATGCAAAGACCATGCAAAGACTCTCCAGCTTCAGTTTGAAAAGGCATGGAATAGACAGGTTAGCACTAGTAAAAATACCCAGAAAAAGATAAGTAGGTTTGTTTTGAGTTGTGCAACATGTTCTCAGGAGGAAAACTTAGGTGGGACAGAGGATCTGTTTGAAAAAGGCTTGGTAAACTGAGAACAAGGAAACCTGGAAGAGCTGAGGCATGAATTTTACTGCCAAATTTTCTCTATCCCCTTTGCCACCCCCTTCAGCTTTTTGATGATGTAAACAATTTTGGTACAGCATACAAGCAGGAAAATTATCAGTTCTATCTAGCCTACCAAACCCCCCACTTCACTAAAAATGATGTGGCACAGAATGTAGGAAAGTCAACTGGCAGAACCTCGGAACCCCTGGATGAGAATCTCTCACAGCAGTGTCTTGGGACTCCAGAGCAGTATTTTTAATCCATTGGTCATTCTCCCCCTTTAACTCTGCTACACTCCTCTCCTCTACCAAGGTTCCCCACCATGAAAACTATACCAATTCAGAATTTGTACAGAGGAATTATACAAATAATGAATTAATTCCAATTACATATCAATTCCATTTGGTGACCTGCTAACATTTCTTGAACAGAAAACACTCTGTCACTTCAGCTTTTACTCACTGAGTGTCAACTATGCACACAATAACCTCTCTTTCAGACATACCTGCAGTATGAGAGACTCTTTATCACCTTCTAATCGTGCCAATCTTTCCTGGTAAGTCTCATTATTAGATGGATGATGATTCACCTGTGACTGGGGAGAAAGAAAAGTACAATAAGAATTTGTACAGTTAAGTTTCAACCAATAATTCATAAAAATTATATCTATTTAGTGGGTTTCACAAGAAAAAAATACATTAAAAATGTGTCTATAGACCAAAACTGTTGATTTCATATGCATTAAATCTTTTGTATGTACCTATTTTTAGCTGGATTTTGAATACTCTCTCATTTCCAGCAATTGACAATGGTATAGGAATAGATGGATATTTTCTAGTAAATTATAATTTAATTGAAAAATACCATCTTATCAAGACAAAATCCATTGGACTTGAAATATCTGGTTTTGACAGTTTGGCAAAGTCAAGGGATCTTGGTATTTATTTTAAGTGGTAAAAATTGCCATAGCTATTATGCTATGCCTAGAAATTACTGAAAGAAAAGTAGATTGGTTTTTGTTAGCAATTAAAAATGATTGAAATTATCAGATTCTTATTGTGAACTACCCTAGCCACATCATCACTTATGAATTTCTTAACTGGTCTAGGGGGCAAAACTGCATGGCCAGTTCTTGTCATGTCCCATTTCCTATGAATTTTAATACTCCAGGGAGAAACACCACGATTACAAAAACACCCTGCAGATTTACTTTCCAAAGTTTAGAAGAGTCCCACAGCTTCCTCCTGCATACTCAAACACTGTGCAGCTGTGGGAATGGAGCTGTTTGCTCAGAGCATCAGGAGTAACCTGAGCCCTGAGCAGTTCCTTTCCCAGCTCCACTGCAGGCAGAGCATTTCTGCCAGGGGATACAACACTCTGCTTGGCTTTTCAGCTAACACAAGAATCCAACTTCAATGAGTTCCCTCCAACTCAGTCTGCAGCTGACTACTCATTTATAGCTACTTGCACAATGGCACCAACAGAATGGTAATCCTCCTCCCCAAGTGTCCTTTCCTTTTCAACTGGACGTTTGTGAACAGGATTTTTGAAAATATTAAAGGTATTCACGGCTGCTTGATCCACACTGAGTTCTACAGGCCCAAATGTAAATCAGATGATGAAAATAAACCTGATGCTAATTAATTCAAATCAAGAAATCAAATTTTTATCCACTTAAAAGCCATAAAGTGCTGAACTAGATGTAAATGTGGTATCTTTATAAGCTGAGGGAATCCAAGCAGCCTTGTCTCTGATTATTTTGAAAGAATTGAGAGAATCACAAAGACACCAACAAACAGGACTGAATAAGCATTTAGTTCCCTATTCCATCCTGCAATATTCTTGTCTTGCCTACACCTAAAGATCTCCAGAAATGGATGACACAGCCTCCCCACAATCTCCTTCTTAGCTGCCCAGCATTGGAATATTTTGCTTAATTTATAACCTGAATTATCATCTCTCCAACCTACTGGTTCTTATCACACCCTCATGGGTTAAAACTACAGGTCCTCCCCTTTGAAACAAAGATTTTTTACATATTTGAAGACTATCTGTAGGTTCCTAATTAGCAGGTCCCTCTTTGGACTGAGAGAGAAAACATATTTTTCTGTCTTTTCCTCACAGCCTAATTTTTCAAGATCTGTTTTATTGTTTTCTTTTGGTTCCTTTTCACCAACCATTCCTCAACTTCTTTTGAAATTAAGTGCCTAAGAGGAGCCACAGAACCCCAGATGAAATTGGCTAGAGAAGAAAAACCTTTTCACAGACCCTTGGGCCCTATTTCTTTCCATATTAGCCATATAGTAAAACTCCTATATTTTTAGCCTAGGACCCATAAATTCCAGATCCCTTTTTAATGCCTTTATTTAGCTACCATTCTGTTCTTCATTCTGTGTTTATTCATTGTTTCTGTTTTCACATATAACTTTGAGCTAGTCTATACTGAATCACATCCTACTATTTATATTGTTTTCCTATACATCAGGCTCTGCCTCCTCAACAATTCTGCCAGAATTCTAACTCCACACAGAGAGCAGAGTCATACAACACACTTTAGAACCCAAAATCTTTAGTTTTGGTGGCTAAGATTGCATTAGGGTTAAAACTTCCTTATGTAGTATTAAATGAATTTTCTCAATGAAGAGCCCACAGCCCTTCCCCAGTATATCTCTGGCTCACACACACTGGTAGAAGAGAGTTTCCTGCATCAAGTGTCCAGGGAAGAACAGCAAAATGACTAAACCTAGTCAAATAGATTTTGCACCCTTTCTCTTGCTGTTGTGTGCTATTTTCCTAGGCTAGATTTGAAGAGATGTACCTGTAACCACTTGTATAAGCATTTCCCTTCCCCTTCCAGGCACAGTGTGTTAAATTACTGCCAAAACAAAATCTGTCATGAATGCAAAACAGTAATCAACATTTTATATAATCCATAATTAAATATTAGTTCAACATAGAATTCCTACACTTAAAATTACCAAATGTGTAGCCTGAAACACTGTCTGCTGCACTGAGTGACTGTGAAATATCCCCTGCTGGGAGCCCAATACTCAGTACTCATGTAAAGTCTAGTGAATCACCCATGGGAACAGAAAAGTGGGAATAAAACAACAATAAAACATCAATTCCTGCCAACAGGTCAGCCAGAGAGGCCCCAGACAAGTACAGGAAAGTACAGTAGACACAGAAATGT